GCTCCGGCCCCTTTGGCTTTGGGAGGGGTTCCGTGGGGAGCTCCTCTCCCCCTGATCTCCATCCGCCTTTCGCCACTACATCCCTGCTGCGGTTACATAAGGCAGAGGAGCGTGTAGCCAGCGCTAACGTGGCCCAAAGCATCGGGGTCTCACCCAGGGATGCCCAGAGCTGAACTCAGCCCCGTCCTCCTGTCCCCCATCCTCTGCAGCACCTGCCCCACTGCCTGGGGTGAGCCACCCCACTGCCTTCCCTTGCCTGCTACAGGGGCTGTGCCTGCGGGTCACGCAGGCGGGCAGCTGCGGGGTACAGGGCCACACAGACATCCACATGTGCACCCCCTGCTCTGCCCTGCAGCCTGCACTTTGGCAAAGCCCGCGCTAACGCTTCTTACATGCATACAGTCCTTGCTGTGCGCACCCCCCCCCACCCCCCCACCCCCCCGTTTGATGAGGCAGCCTGGCTCTCGCAGATGAGTCCACTCCAAAGCGATGCACGCCAGAAGTGTTTGCACACAAGCACACGGCGGTAGGTAGCCCATGGGTCCTGCTCTTGCACACACGTGGGCTAGTGCATGCCGTGGGGGCTCGCCAGTGCCGGCACAGGGGTGGCGTGTGCTCTCCCTGCCTGCATGCTGAGGCAGGGAACTCGTCTTGGATGGGGCTGGCTTTCTCCTCATGCCGGCTCCTGGCCCGGGCCAGCGCTGGGAAAGCTGCAGGCCTGGCAGGGCAGCCCTGGGTGGCTGCGGTGGGCAGCTCTGCGGCTGCCCGTGGCTTTCCCCTCCCTGACCGAGGTGCTCTGAGCAAGGATCAATAATGCCTTTCTGATTGGCTTCAATTCCCCATTCAAAGTAGTCACTGCATTAGGACTTGATTTTTCTCCCCTTTGACTCCCGGCCAGATTAGATTGTGAATTTGGCTGATTTCAAGCAACTGGGGGAGGGAAGAGTCATACAGCGAGTGAGAGAGAACTGAAATATCCTACAGGATCCCCTGGAGGGGAGAGAAATCAGGTCTAGATAAGAGCTTGTTCTCCCTGTCTAGCTAATGCTTTCCTGTTTGATGATCAGAAAACACAAGATCTAACCTCTCACCAGGACGGCTTAACTATGAAAGGTCAGGCTTTTGGCTTGTTCAAGGTGCAAGGTTTATTATTATGAGCTATGGATTATTTATTTCAGTTCTCCCATCATATGCTAAATATAGGATTGCACAATGCATGCAAACAGAAGGACGTGGCCGGTGCTTCGGAGGTTTCTGAGTCAGGCTCTGGATGTGGCGCTGAGGTTGGAGAAGCTGCAACAGGGACGGGACACACGGTCCATGCTCCGGAGAGCCTTGTGCTGTCCTGCCTGCTTGTAGAGGCTCAGCCCCATCCTGGGGCAATTTTTAACTATGCTTGTCTTCCTTGTGCGTGTGCTGGGGGTTACGTCAGTGATGCCCTGTGTCCCAGAGGGACACAAAAAGCCGTAGCCAGGCACATCCCAGCCATGCTGGTCCAAGTGGAGTTTCTTTGTCAGCTGCTTTAGGGCCAGGATTTCCATGGAGAAAAGCCACAGCAGCACAGCAATGCCTGCAGCATCCCAGCTGCCAGCACTTGGCTGTGAATTAGTGTTAGCTCCAGGTGTAGCAAAAACCTGGGTTTATGTGGTTTCTCGGTAAAGGGCACTGGAAAGCCCAGTAGAGCAGAGGAACTTCAGAAGGAGCTGCTGGAGGGCAGTGAGGAGCCTCAGGAGGAGAGGATGTGGGGTTGGGGGCTTGTGGGCTGTGCCTGTCTGAGCTATCTCTGTGATGGGTGGTGTGGGGAGGCTGCTGGTGGAGTCACCAGCAAGGCTTTGAGGTGGAGGGGAGGGGAAGCTACCTCAGGGACTGCAAGGCGGTATGCGCTGGGAGCACAGCCTGGATGGTGTTCTGCCTGATGCGGTATGGTTGCTGGAATTTTTGGGTGTTATGAACTGTGGTCCTGGGGAGAGTCTGAGCGAACCTGATGGCAGGGGCTGAGTGCCTGGGTGTGGTGAGGTGGAGGTGTGATGGTCAGCAGTAAACTGGGCTCAGAGGAGGCTGGTGGTGGGGAGAGGACCTGGGTGGTGCTCTGTAGGACAGCTTTGGAGCCATGTGTAACCCCAAAGGGTGGCTGAGGAAGGAGGCAAATCTGTGAAAGCAGTAGGGCTGTGGGGATCTTGTGGTGAAGGGGCTGGAGTGGAGGCCCTGAGCCTTGGTTCCATGTCTGTTATACACCCAGGAGAGCAGTGGCAGCCAGGGTGGACAGGGCATGGTGCAGAGGATGAGCATGAAATGGTACATGAGGTGCAGTTTGGCTGTTGGAGTGATGAATGTGTGTACGGTCCTTAGTACAAGGGTTGTCTGGGTCTCTGAGACCTCCCCATAATAGAAGAAAATAATAATATCTAAGAAAGGAACTGTGAGATTAGCTCTGGGGGAGCTGAGGGGAACCTGGAGCCTCCATGCACCACGCAGAGCTGGGACAGGAGGGTCTGGAGGAGGTGGCACTGAGGGCTCAGGGTGTGTATCAGCCTGTCTAAGGGAGCTGGAGGGACATGGGAGGAGGCCGGGGAGGTGGAGATGGGAATTGGTGTGGTTGTGACAGTGGCTTGAGGGAAATCTGGGTGCATTTAAAATAAAACCAACCCTCAACAAACAAACCCCCCCTTATTAGTCAGGGGAGGCTTACAATCAGTCATTTGGGTCTGCCTTCTGTACCGCCTGGCATGGACCCACACGATGGAATGTTGCAGGTGTAATTCAAGATGACCCGGCGGCCAAAGACCCACAGGTTATGAGGAAAGCCCTCTGCAAACGGAATTGTTGTCAGCTGCCCTGGGGAGCAGAGCAGCCCGCACCCCTGCCCTGGGAGCCTGAGCATGTTCTCCCCTGCGGGGACCGGTGGGGGAGAAGCGGGTGTCTTGGTACGGGGTCAGGCCTGTGACCCCTGTTCCTGCTGGGTGGGATCCTGCCCAACTCGAGGACCAAACCATCAGGTGTTTTGTTCAAACACACGCGTATGTATGCAGGGCTCTCGGTGGGAAAAGACAAATGAATGCAACCCGCTGGCTTCCCTCCACCTCTCTCTCCTTTGTGCTTAGGGTGAATCGGAGGGGAAAACTCAAGGTTTGTGCCTTTTTTTTTTCCCCTCCCCCATTTCAGCATTTCTTTAGGAGCTGGACAAGGGCAGTTTCTGTAGCTCACTCATATTTTTAAATCGGCGGGAATAAGTTTATGGAAACGTGTGTGTTTTACTGTATCAGCTGCTCTCAGCTTTTAGCTTTATTACAGTTAAGTGCAGAGTCTTTTGTGGGCCAAACTCATTCATTGTATTTAATGGAGTTAAACGGCAGGCAAATTTGGCAACTTGTTTGTATATATCTTTGTAAAATGGACAGGCAGAGATAATAAAATTTTATATTTTATATGACATCTTTTAGGGAAAATTCTTCCAATATGTTTTATAAACAGCTTGCATATTTTGCTACAGTATATGCTTATTCCTAAGTACGAGACATTAATGCTGCTTCTTTTTTCCCTTTCCTAGAGCTATGTATGTGAGTGTGAACTTGGATTCACCTATGTTATTTTCTTGTGCTTCTTTCCTTACAAGTGCCTTCATCAGTTTTAAACAATTTCATTAGATTTCTTCTTTTTCCCTTTGGTGTATTTGTATCTCTTCCTAGAAACGCAGGTGTAGTAAGAGCCGTAAGCCTCACTGCGAAGGACTCGGAAGGAGGGAAGAATAATGTATGTAAAGCCTCTTGCTAAATACCTGAAGCACTTCTAAACTGTCCCAGCTGCAAATGCAATATCTCGGGACCTTTCACAGGTACAAACATCTGCTGTGAAACCTTTGAGGGGCTGTGGTTCTTTTGTTGTGTTTTGGGTTTTTTTGTTGGTTGGTTGGTTTTTGTTGTTGGTTGTTTTTTCTTCCCCCTGAGATGCTGTTTTCCTCTATTTCCAGGGTGTGATGATATAGGTTTCTTGACCTATTATGGGCCAGGCTTAATTCCTGCTTGTGCAGGGCCTTTCCCAGTGTAACAGAAAGCAAAAGGACACTTGGAGCTGTAGAAAAAACTGTATTTCTAGAAGATGAATTTGTTTTTTTAATGAGGTATTTGATGTTTTTCCAGTCTCCAAACAAATTAGACCTAGACCTTTGGCTACTGAGCGTAGGGAGGGGAAGTGGTTGATGAGCTGAGCTAATTTATTACACAGTTTTGGCTTATCAAATGGTCATCATTACCCCATATGGAGCACTTGGGTGTGTGGAATTGAGGGGAGAGAATACAGCTGTACAGGGTAAATGTGAAAAAATGGTGAGTGATAAGAATGTAAAATTCTGGTGACATTAAAATAAATTGTGGGTAGTGAGGCGTGAGATGTATCTGATGTCAAAGGAACTCTATAACGTATTTATATCCCTGCTCAGGATTTGCTGGCATTTCTAAATAATGCATTAATTTAATTACACATTCTTAATTAGTGTTTGCTCAAATTGGAACACCACCATTAATTTACTTTTACTGCCTCTTATTTTTATTTTGCTGGTGTGGTGGGTTTCAGTTTCTGACTTTTTCCTCTCTCAGCTTTGAGACTTTTAACACGCAGATGCGATGCCCATGCCGTGAACTGCAGCTTCTTTGGTAATACAAGTTTTCCATATTACAAATAGTTTTTATGCTCACAGGCTGCACAGTGCTGACCTGACCCTGTAATTGGAGAAAGAGAGAGAAAAAGAGCCCAGATGTGAAGTGGCTTCTTTCAAATGCTGAGCATCATCCTTTCTCGGTAGAGCAGGGCGATTGGTAGCATACTGGAGCAGGATTAGGCCCTTTGGGCTCCCCCAAGCAGGGGGGACTTTTGTGTTCATTTAATGTGGTGTATTTTTTGTTTGTTTTTCCTTCCTGGAAACTCATGGTAGTTGCAGGGATGGGTGCTCCCTGTCCCTCTGTAGTCTTGTGGCTGCGAGCACCCAGGGGTGCTTCTTTCTGCTGCTGGCACCTGGAGCAGGGTCGGGGAGGCACAGGGTGCTGTGTGTCACCCAGTGGGGCTTGTGTCTGTCTGTTTCCACATGGGGAGAGTTGAGGGATAACGTGTTCAGTGCTGTGCCCTTTATTGCTTTGTCCTGAGGGAAGACATGCTCTTGAGAGCTGCTCTCTGGTGTTTGCTCTTCAGTGTCTCCTGGCGAGGGCAGCGGGGTCGGGGGCACGCGTGCAGGGTGGAGCCTGGCGGCTGGGGCACTGGTCCTCTGCACGAGCCCGGTTTGGGGTTAGCACTCACTTGTAACAAATGTATTAGCTGATTTATTTAAGCTGTAGGACGATAACAGATCAGGGGAGACTAACACAAGCCAAGACTGCTCCATCCAAGCTGTGCCTTCCAGCAGCGGATGAACACTTGTTTCAAGTTTGCAGTGAGCAGGTTGGGCTTTCCTACCCCCTGCCCCTTTTCTTCCTTTTAATTCTTGTTTCTGGCTTTGCTTCTCTTCCCCACCCTCTGCCCACACTCTCCTCTCGCTCGGAGGCGAGCGATGCAGCCTCGGAAGCCCCATTCATCACCGCCTGCTAGCGAGGCACTAGCAGCCGCCGCCGCTCCGTTGATTGACTGTGGCGGTGAGTGAATTTAAAATCATTACGCTCCTGAGACAGCTTTTAAATATGACGAGATAAAAATCAAATCTGTAAGAAGCCTTGTGAAAAGGGTGTCTCCAGCCAGGGAATCCCGGGTGCTGTTTGGATCTAGGGGAGACCCCGCTGCTCTGGACCTTGTGCATGAGCCTGGACCGCTCCGTGCGGTGAGATGAGAGTGGGCAGGCAGCTGCCGGTGGAGAATTAAGTAGAAATATTTCACTGTAGAAAAGACTATTGTGTAAAGCCATCCATCTGCTGTCTATCTAATACTTTGAATGAATTAATGAGCTGATTGATTAGGGAAAGCTTGCAGCAGCCGGGTGAGGTAGATGATTCTTGTCCTCATGTTACAGGTGGGGGGAACTTGAAGACACAGAGGTTAAGGATAAGGTTTCTAAGGTGGTTTTTTTTTTGCCATCAGTGAATGCTGTGGTTAAGACATTTGTCTGTGTCTTGTTTTACTGATTGATCGACCTGATTTTGGATGCCTTTTGGCTTGCAAGAGCAGCCACGAGAGCTTGGTACAGCTGCAACTCAGCCCTGGAGAGTCTCAGCTCGGGATCTGATCTTCCAGCGTGTTTGTGGCGAAACAGCACAGTCTGCTACAGCTCTTGGCTGTGATGTTTGTAATCAACAGCCTCTTCTCCTTCCGCTGGATAAGACAAACTCTTGCCATTTCTTACAACATTGGCTGTTTAACACGCCTTCCTCTCGCCCCGCAGCCTTTGCCAGGCAGGGCTTTCCATAAGCATCCCCCTGTTTCTCAGAGTAACTCTCCTGGCCACCTGCAGCTTGCAGAGTCTGGTTGCTGACGGCTGGATGCATGGAGCATCTCTCTCCTCTACACTACGATGAGTGCAGCTTTTCAAGAATGGTGCATTGAGCAAATGTCACTCCACAGCCCCAAAATCTATCAAAGGAAATGACAGCGGCTGTAAGCATTAATCATCCAGTATCATCAAAATAAAGTTGTTGCAACAGAGCGTTGTCAAAGGATAAATGTCTTGACTTCAGCTCAGTGCTGGTTCTATTAATCTGGCAGTTCACCAAGGTATTCTAGGAGGAACTGGTAATTGCATAGCCCAAGTGCTCATCTTGTGACATTATTAATTAACTCTTCCCTCTCCAGGCTGGTCAGCTGGTCAGTCTGATCACAAGGAAAAATCCTGGGACAGCTGTGGAGTTGAAGTAGCTTTTCATTACTGCTGAGAAGTTTGTGCCTGCCCCTGCTTGAGTAAAAGCAGGGGTGTGTGGACCAGCACCGAAGTGGCATTTCCTAACCACCCTTCTGAGCTCTCATTGCAGAAAGAGTAGAGCTGTTAAGGCAACACAAAAAAAGGCAATGATCAAAAACACCAAAAGTATTGAACATCTGATTTGGTGTATAAAAATACCTGCTTCTGCTTTACTTCTGCCCCAGGATGTGGCTTGGGAACAAAATCCGTAACCCTCGTGCTGGTTCTGCCCCTGCTCAGGGCACAGCAGGTACAAATGCTGCGAGCAGATGTGAGTGTGATGAATAGGGCATCCGTCAGGGCTGGCAGGACGAGGGATGTGACCACTGGTGTCACCAAACCGATTAACTCCTGGGGATGGGGGAGGCACTGCAGTAATGTCATTTCCAGCCACCTTCTTCTGGGAAGGTGGTGCTGAACAGTGAATTGCAAGGTCTGGCATGTGCCCCAAGGGGATGGAGAGCTGCTGGAAGTGTCTTTCTTAAAATCCAAGAGTTCAAAGCCTATCTCTTGTGTTTTATGGCACAATTGAACTTTTATGCTGCCTGGGTTTGAGTCTCTGTCTCTAGAGGCTGCGGGGACCTGGCCTGTGCTTGGCAAAGGCTGTGCATGTGCCCAGCTCTGCTCTGCAGGCAGGTAGGACTGGAACTGCGGGGTGCAAACAGGCTGTGTGGGGATGGACGCCCCCGAGCCTGTCCTGTGTTGCTCACTTGGCCTGGCTCCTATTTACCTTGTCTAGGGAAATGTCGGAGCATGGGTACAGGAATAATGCAACTGCTTCTGGAGAACATCTACCACAGAGGAGTAAAAGGAAGACTTCAATACATCAGCATGTTTCAACACCTGTCCCAATTCACAAAGGAGAAGAAATTGGGCTGTGGAGTCTGTGTAACTGCTTCATGCTTAAAGAAAGAAGGGGAAATAAATCTGTGGCATGAGATTATTAAAGCAATCATAAAATCATTTCGGTTGGAAAAAGCCCTTAAGAATGAGTTGTAATGCTTACAAGCAAAGTGAACATCACCACCCCATCAAAGTTCAGAGTTTTTCACATTGCTTACTGTGTGGGTCAGGTTTTTTTAATCTTGAGCTTCTCTGATTGTTTGCAGAAAAATCCTCTTCTGTATTAAAAACCTTTCTAGTTGTGAACTCAGTTGTAGGTTCTCTAATTCCGCACTGGCTTTAAGAAAAAGCCCCAAACTTTCTGCATGACTTTTCCCCTTCTCTCTCAATGAATAATTACTAGTTCTTGTTCTGATTTTTTTTTTTTGTTGTTGTCCTTTCCAGTCCCTATCGTACTAAGAAAACAGCCATAAAACAGCATCATGTTGTATAACTCTTAGGATGACATGCACTGGAACTCTTACTTGTGAGCAGCATAATGCACTTCATTTTAATTAAGCTGGGCTGGGAAATAAGTGTGTTTCACATACTGACCTTGCTTTTCTCCCCATTTGTTTTGAAGTCCTGTTGTCCATATTTTCAGCAGGCCAAACCTGAAGTATTCTTGCAAATACTGACCTTCTTCTGTGGTTTAGATTATAAACAGCTCCTTGGAGCCAGGGCTTGTGGGGTTCGTTGGAGCTGCTGTGTTACAGATGACTTGTTCTTCTGGAAACAGCTCATAAAGAGATGGCCATGGGGACAGATGGGAAATAGTCTTCAAAGCTTGTCAGGTTTTCTGTGACCATCTGAGAGCCCCTTATAGCTGTAAGGGGAATCGCGCCTGAAGAGCTGCCAGCTGTATTCAGTGGGTAAACCTGGAGGTGAAGTGACATGCCCAGGGTTACCTGAGGTATTGGTGCTGGAGCCTGTGCTGGGACCAAGTCCTCTGACACCTGCTTCTGCTCTAACCATGAGCCTTATTTCCTTTCTTTGTCCTTAGTTTTGCAGCGCAAGGAAATTTTTGCTTAATTTTAAATGTTCTCCTAAATCTTGGTGACGGCAGATTGACGTAAGTG